AATGTTTTTTTGCAGTATAAATAAGATATGTGCAGTGTGAATAGGAATTCATTCATGTTTATTTCGAATTATAATCCGGCCCGCCAATAGTTTGAGGGACTGTGACCTGGCCCTCTGTTTAGAAAGTTTTAAAAGAACAGAACGTGATGCTTGTTCTCTGTCCCTTTCTTGTCTCCTTTTCACAGAAGGTGCGAGAGTCCTCCCTGGCCTCTCAGATGTCCATTATGATCTCCATCAAGAGAGTTGTCAGCTGAATGTCTCATGGGCTCCTGTGCAACCCTTGAACTATTCCTGCTCCGTAACCTATGAGAGTGATATCGATGATGATGGAAATTGGTTCATTGGTGTAAGCGTCCTATTTCTGTGGATTCGGGGTGGGAATGGAAATATGGCGATTTATGATGGAGTCCCTGGTGGCGCAGTGGGTTAAACCACTGAGCTGCTGAACTTGCTGACCGAAAGGTTGCAGGTTCAAATCCGGGGAGTGGTATGAGCTACTGTTGTTAGCCCCAGCTCTTGCCAACCTAGCAGTTCAAAAACTTGCAAATGTGAGTAGATCAATAGGTAAAAAGGTAAAGGTAAAGGTAGTCCCCTGACATTAAGTCCAGTCATGTCTGACTCTGGGGTGTGGTGCTCATCTCCATTTCTAAGCCGAAGAGCCAGCGTTGTCCGTAGACACCGCCAAGGTCATGTGGCCGGCATGACTGCATGGAGCGCCGTTACCTTCCCGCCGGAGCGGTACCTATTGATCTACTCACATTTGCATGTTTTCGAACTGCTAGGTTGGTAGAAGCTAGGGCTGACAGCGGAAGCTCACGCCGCTCCCCAGAATCGAACCTGCGACCTTTCGATCATCAAGCTCAGCAGCTCAGTGCTTTAACCCACTGCGCCACCAGATCAACAGGTACTATAATAATAATAATAATAATAATAATAATAATAATAATAATAGACCCATATAATGCAGTTATACTAACCATATAATCAGTGGCTCTCAACCTTCCTAATACCGTGACCCCTTAATACAGTTCCTCATGTTGTGGTGACTCCAAACCGTAACATTATTTCCGTTGCTACTTCATAACTGTCATTTTCTACTGTTCTGAATCGTCATGTAAATATCCGATATGCAGGATGTATTTTCATTCACTGGACCAAATTTGGCACAAATACCCCATATGCTCACATCTGAATGCTGGGGGGGGGGGGGGGGGGGGGGTATTGATTTTTTTTCATTTGGGAGTTGTAGTTGCTGGGATTTATAGTTCACCTACAATCAAAGTGCATTCTCAACTCCACCAATGATGGAATTGAACCAAAGTTGGCACACAGAACTCCCATGACTAACAGAAAACACTGGAAGGGTTTGGTGGGCATTGACCTTGAGTTTGGGAGTTGTAATTCACCTAATAATGATAATAAACTTTATTTATACCCCGCCACCATCTCTCCAAGGGACTCGGAGTGGCTTACATGAGGCCAAGTCCAACAACACATCAATAAATCAAGAAAGCAGTAAACAAAAACAAAACAAAACAATACAGTTAATATAAATCACATATTTATTATTTATTTACTGTATTTGTATACCGCCTTTCTCAGCCAATTGGCGACTCAAGGCGGTTTCCAACAAATCAGTATACATAAAACATAATATAGATAAAAAACATTAAACAGTATAAGGTAAAGGTAGTCCCCTGACATTAAGTCCAGTCATGTCTGACTCTGGGGTTGTGGTGCTCATCTCCATTTCTAAGCCGAAGAGCCAGCGTTGTCCATAGACACCTCCAACGTCATGTGGCTGGCATGACTGCATGGAGCGCCGTTACCTTCCCGCCGGAGTGGTACCTATTGCTCTACTCACATTTGCATGTTTTCGAACTGCTAGGTTGGCAGAAGCTAGGGCTGACAGCGGAAGCTCACGCCGCTCCCCGGAATCGAACCTACGACCTTTCGATTAACAAGCTCAGCAGCTCAGTGCTTTAACCCACTGCGCCACACGAACGCAATAAAAGCAACATCATCAGCGTCTCGTTATTCTCAAGCATTGTCCAATTCCATTGTCAGGTCATTCGATTTCCTGTATTAGCTACTCTGTATTTGTAAACGCTTGCTTGAATAGCCACGTTTTAACGTCAAGAGGGAGGGAGCAGATCTGATCTCCCTAGGGAAGGCATTCCATAGCCGAGGGGCCACCACTGAGAAAGCCCTGTCTCTCGTCCCCGCCAAACGTGCTTGTGACGAAGGCGGGACCGAAAGCAGGGCCTCCCCAGATGATCTTAAAGTCCTCAGTGGTTCGTAAGGGGAGATACATTTGGACAGGTAAGTTGGGATTTTAAAAATGTATGGCCAGCATAACTGCATGGAGCGCCGTTACTGTGTACAAACCCACACTGTTTCTGTGTCGAAACCCACACGATCTCTTCGATCATCTGGAGAGGCCCTGCTCGCGCTCCTGCCCCCCTCGCAGGCGCAATTGGTGGGGACGAGGGAGAGGGCCTTCTCGGTGGTGGCCCCCCGACTCTGGAACTCACTTCCCAAGGACATCAAATGTAATAGTTTAAAAATTTAAAAATAAACGCTGGGCATGAACAAGGTAGGATATATTTGGTAGGAGGGTTTGAAAAGAAGTGAGGGAAGCGCAGTTCAACCCAATCCACTAGTTAAAGTGCATTGTGAGGGCATATTTCTGGGAATGTTTTCCTTATTCCGGGAAGGCACACTGGAACAGTTACGTTTTCAGGCTCCTCCTAAAGACTGCTAATGTTGGAACAAACCTGATGTCTTTGGGAAGTGAGTTCCAGAGTCGGGGGGCCACCACCGAGAAGGCCCTCTCCCTCGTCCCCACCAATCGCACCTGCGAAGGAGGTGGGAGCGTGAGCAGGACCTCTTCGGATGATCGAAGAGATTGTGTGGGTTCATATACAGAAATGCGGTCAAGCAGGTATGCGGGTCCCAAACCGTTCAGGGCTTTGTAGGTAAGAACCTGCACCTTGAATTGGGACCAGAAAATTAACGGCAGCCAATGGAGCTCCCAAAAGAACTAATGGATTTTCCTCTTCTTCCAAACTTAGCCATGGTACCAACAGCCTAACCGGACTGTGCTGGTACCTCTGGGGAATCAGAAAAAACTGATATTCGGTGCTCGAGCGACGTGCGTCCATAATAAGTTTGCAGGCGAATGGTATAACATCACGGTTCCACAAACTGGTGAGTTCCTACTTCCAATTTGTGTCCAAATTGGGCAGCCACTTTTATCAACCTATCCTATTGTAGCCTTCTCCCAAAATGCCTCTCTAGACAACCACCCGGCATTTCTAACACATGAAAATGCTGGTGTCTTTTTAAGTGTAACCTTGACAGTATCGTCTACCATCAAAGGTATTAGATCTTTCTCTTTATCTGTCTGTCTGTCTATCTATCTATCTATCTATCTATCTATCTATCTATCTATCTATGTAATCAAGAGGGTTGGACTGGATGACCCTTGGGTCTCTTCCAACTCTAGGATTCTATGATCCAATTGTCTGTCTGTCTTTCTGTTTTAAAGGGGGATGGACTGAATGGCTTTTGGGATTTCTCCCAACTCTAGGGTCTCTCTCTCTCTCTTTCCTTCCTTTCTTCCTTCCTTCCTTCCTTCCTTCCTTCCTTCCTTCCTTCCTTCCTTCCTTCCTTTCTTTCTAAAGGGATTGAATTCGATGGTTTTTGGGGTCTCTTCCACTTATAGGATCTGTCTGTCTATCTAAGGGGGATGGGCTGGATGACCCTTGGAGTCTCATTCAACTCTAGGAACGTTCTGATTCTCTTTCTCTGTCTATCTAGCGATCTATCTATACCTAAGAAGGTTGAGCCAGATGACTTTTGGAGTCTCTTCCACCTCTAGGAACTGTCAGTCAGTCTAAGGGGGATGGACTGGATGACCCTTAGGGTCTCTTCCGACTAGGTTCTTTATCTATCTACCTAAGGGGGTTGAACTGGATGGCCTTTGGGGTCTCTTCCACCTCTAGGATCTGTCTGTCTGTCTAAGGGAAATGGACTGGATGACCCTTAGGGTCTCATTCAACTCTAGGATCTGTCTGTCTATTTCTTTCTTTCTAGGTTGAACTGGGTGGCCTTTGTGGTCTCTTCCACCTCTAGGATCTGTCTCTCTATTTATCTAAGGGGGATGGATTGGATGATCCTTGGGGTCTGTCTGTCTGTTTACCTACCTACTTACCTACCTACCTAAGGAGGTTGAACTGAATGGCATTTGTGGTCTCTCTTCCACCTGTAGGATCTGTCTGTCTATCTAAGGGGGATGGACTGGGTGGCCCTTGGGGTCTTGTTCAGCTCTAGGATCTTTCTGTTTCTCTTTCTTTCTCTGTCTGTCTGTCTGTCTGTTTATCTATCAGGGTCTCTCTTCCATCTCTAGGATCTGTATGTCTATCTAAAGGGGGGGGGGGTGAACTGGATGACCCTTGGGGTCTCGTTCAACTCTAGGATCTTTCTGTTTCTCTTTGTCTATTTATCTATCTATCTATCTATCTGCCTCAGGAGGTTGAACTGAATGGCTTTTGGGGTCTCTTCCACTTCTAGGATCTGTGTGTCTATTTAAGGAGGGGATGAACCGGATGACCTTTGGGGTCTCATTCAATTCCTGGATCTTTCTGTTTCTCTTTGTCTGTCTGTCTATCTATTTATCTATTTGTCTGCCTAAGAGGGTTGAACTGAATGGCTTTTGGGGTCTCTCTTCTACTTCTAGGATCTAAGGGAGATGGACTGGATGACCCTTAGGGTCTTATTCAACTCTAGGATCTTTCTGTTTCTGTTTCTTTCTCTGTCTGTGTATCTATCGGGGTCTCTCTTCCACTTCTAGGATCTGTCTGTCTATCTAAGGGGGGATGAACTGGATGACCCTTGGGGTCTCATTCAACTCCTGGATCTTTCTATTTCTCTTTGTCTGCCTGTCTGTCTATCTATTTATCTATTTGTCTGCCTAAGGGGGTTGAACTGAATGGTTTTTGGGGTCTCTCTTCTACTTCTAGGATCTAAGGGAGATGGACTGGATGACCCTTAGGGTCTTGTTCAACTTTAGGAGCTTTCTGTTTCTCTTTCTCTATCCATCCATCCGTCTAACCATCTATCCATCCATCCATCTATCCTTCTGTCCATCCATCTATCCATGCATTCATCCATCTATCCGTCTAACCATCTATCCATCCATCCATCCATCCATCCATCTATCCGTCTAACCATGTATCCATCCATCCATCTATCCATCTATCCGTCCATCTGTCCATCTGTCCATCCATCTATCCGTCCATCCATCCATCCATCCATCCATCTGTCAAGGGGGTTGGACTGGATGGCCGCTGGGGTTTCTTCTGACGGTATGATTCTGTTTCTCTGGGCCTTGCTCCTGACCCGGCTGCTCCTCTTTCCCCAGGTACGCCAGGGACGGGGGCCAGAAACCTTAGCTGCATTTGGCTAAACATGGAGTCCATACAATGCTCCTGGCAGCGAGGAAAGAATGCGAGTCCTCACACCCTCTACAACCTCTCCTACTGGTGAGTATCCGGACACACAGGCACAGATATGCAGGCGCCATTGTCTCCAAAGTCAAGTAGAATATTAGAGAGCTCTTCAGGCTTTGTGGCTGTGGGGCTATTGGAATCCAATGCTTCTTTTCTAGTTTGGAAATTACTGTATATACTCAAGTATAAGCCTAGTTTTTCAGCCCTTTATTTAGGCTAAAAAAATCCCCCTCGGCTTATATTCGAGTCAAGGTTATTTATTATTTTACTCTGTTGTTGTTGTTGTTGTTGTTATTGTTATTACTGTGTTATGGTGTATTGTTGTGTTGTTTTACTGTTATTGCTTTGATGTTGTTGATTTTGCTTTGAGTTGTATTTGTTATGCTGTTGTTTTATTGAGGGCCTTGGCCTTGTAAGCCGCATCGAGTCCTTCGGGAGATGCTAGCGGGGTACAAATATAGTTAATAATAATAATAAAAATTATTATTATTATTATTATTATTACTTTCATTTCATTTATTATTTTATTCTATTTATTATTATTACATTTATCATTTTATTTATTTATATTTATTTATTTACTTTGCTTGTATACCGCAGTTTCTCAGCCCGTAGGCGACTCAACGCGGTTCACAACAAGAGCAAAAAAGTCAATCGTACAACATACAATATTTAAAAACCATTAACAGCCTAGTATACAAATAATGACACATCAATAACAACACATTAGCATCTCATAACTAAAATCGTGATCCAATTCGTCATCCATAAATCCGTTCCTATAGTCATCGTTCAATTGCACTATTTATCTGAACGCCTGTTCAAACAGCCAGGTTTTTAGTTTTCTTCGAAACACGATTAACGAAGGGGCTGGTCTAATGTCCATGGGAAGGGCATTTCACAGCTGAGGGGCCACCACAGAGAAGGCCCTGTCCCTTGTCCCCGCTTACTCTATTATTATACATTTATTATTTTACTGTATAATTGTTGCTGTTGCTACATTCATTATTTTACTCTTTTTTATTATTGTTGTTATTACATTTATTAAGTTACTCTCTTTATTATTATTGTTGTTGTTATTACATTTATTATGTTACTCTCTTTATTATTATTGGAAGGATACGTAGGCACATTTACATTGAAGAAGGTAAATAATCATTTAATCAGAGTTGGACAGTCTTATCTTAAATTACCATTTTTGTAAATATTCAAAAATATATAACCTACTGATTCCTCAATTGATGTAATTTAATTGGCATCTATTTTTATTTTGCAATTTACCCATAGCGGCTGCATTTCCCACCCTGGGCTTATACTCGAGTCGGAGACGACTAAACGAATGAACAACAACAAATATTAAAGAATATATAACCTACCGATTCCTCAATTAATGTAATTTAATTGGTATCTATTTTTATTTTGCAATTTACCCATAGCGGCTGCATTTCCCACCCTGGGCTTATACTCGAGTCAATCTGTTTTCTCAGTTTTTTGTGGTAAAATTAGGTGCCTCGGCTTAAATTCGGGTCGGCTTATACTCGAGTATATACGGTAGTCAGAATTGCAGAAGTGCTAATGGGCCATAACCTCCCCGCTGTACTTGAGTCATCGACACATTCAAATTAATACCATCCCTTTGCATTTTGGCCTGCCAATTGCACTTCCAAAATCCTTTTGAAGTGGAATTGTACTGCGTTAATGCCGCAGTGTAGATGGACTCCTGTGTTTCTCCCTGTGTGTGTGTGTGGGTGAATATTTGGGGTTTGCTTACTTTCCTATTTTCCTAATTATTTTCCTAATATCGCACTGTTTTTTCCATTCAAGGCTTGGAGGACAGAAGTATTGCACCGATTACACTCAAGAAGGCGATGTCTTTCGGTGCACTTTCCCTTTTTCTAACTCGTTGATCAATCCTTTTGGAATCTCCATCCACGGCAATTCGGAGGAGATCCAGACTGTGTGCCTGGTCTCAAAGCATAGCATTGAAGAAAGTAAGTCAGACTTTGTGTTTCGAAAGGCCCTGCGAGTTTCAAACTGTGGCCAGGAAGAGATTTCATATTCTCCGGGTGTTGTTGTTGTTTTGCACATTTGAGAAGGCCCTTTTTTCATTTCTCAGGGCTGATGGGACATTTGTTTGTGCCGGAGGTGCTCCATGTTTATAATGTAACCCAAAAGCAATGAGAAATTTTGACATATATAGGATGGGTTTTTCCACAATCCACCTTCCTCTGCTTTGATCTAAAAGCGCAATGATACATCATAGAATCCTAGAGTGGGAACGGACTCCCAAGGCCATATAGTCCAGCCCCTTCTGCTAGCCAGGAAGACACAACCAAAGCTCTCCTGACAGATGGCCAGTCAGCCTCAGCTTAAGAGAAGGAGATTCCACTGGACTCCTAGGTAGTCTATACTTTGCTAGTTAAAAGACCCTATATTCTAGCCTCATTCTGTAAGGCAGAAAGACACAATCAAAGCTCTCCTGGCAGATGGCCATTCAGCCTCAGCTTAAGAGAAAGAAACTCCACTGGACTCCCAAGCAGACTATACTTTGCTAGAGCTGGAAGGGACTCCCAAAGGGCATCTAGTCCAGTCCCATTCTGCTATGCAGGAAGACACAACTAAAGCTCTCCTGACAGATGCCCATTTAGCCTCAGCTTAAGAGAAGGAAACTCCACCGGACTCCCAAGCAGACTATACTTTGCTAGAGCTGGAAGGGACTCCCAAAGGGCATCTAGTCCAGCCCCATTCTGCTAGGCAGGAAGACACAACCAAAGCTCTCCTGACAGATGGCCAGTCAACCTCAGCTTAAGAGAAGGAGATTCCACTGGACGCCTAGGCAGTCCATACTTTGCTAGTTAAAAGGGACCTCCAGAGACAATATAGTCCAGCCCCATTCTGCTAGCCAGGAAGACACAACCAAAGCTCTCCTGATAGATGGCCATTCAGCCTCAGCCAGGCATGTAGCCTGGGGAGGGGGGGCTTGAGGGCTTCACCCCCCCCCCCCGAAATTCTCATGGTGGTTCGCAAAAAGGTCTTACTGGTGCATTATTTAAACTGTTATGTTTATTCATATCATGATCTGATCACCATACTCAATATATCCCATATGCATGGGGGTATTGGGGTAACGATACAAAAGGTTTGCTAGGGTAGACCCTCTTTCACTCAGACTCAGCCCCCCCCCCCCCCGAACTCAGCCCCCCCAACCCCCCCCCTGAAAAAAATTCACCCCCCCCCCAAACGAAATCCTGGCTATGGGCCTGGCCTGGCCTCAGCTTAAGAGAAAGAAACTCCACCGGACTCCCAAGCAGACTATACTTTGCTAGAGCTGGAAGGGACTCCCAAAGGGCATCTAGTCCAGCCCCATTCTGCTAGCCAGGAAGACACAACCAAAGCTCTCCTGACAGATGGCCGGACCCCCCAAAAACAATCGGGTTCAGCCCCATGCTGCTAGGCAGGAAGATACAACCAAGTTCTTTAGGGTGACTAAAATGATCAAGGGTCTGGAGAACAAGCCCTATGAGGAGCAGCTTAAAGAGCTGGGCATGTTTAGCCTGAAGAAGAGAAGGCTGAGAGGAGACATGATAGCCATGTATAAATATGTTAGAGGAAGTCATAGGGAGGAGGGAGCAAGCTTGTTTTCTGCTTCCCTGGAGACTAGGACAGGAACAATGGCTTCAAACTACAAGAAGGAGATTCCATCTGAACATGAGGAAGAACTTCCTGACTGTGAGAGCCGTTCAGCAGTGGAACTCTCTGCCCCGGAGTGTGGTGGAGGCTCCTTCTTTGGAAGCTTTTAAACAGAGGCTGGATGGCCATCTGTCAGGGGTGATTTGAATGCAATATTCCTGCTTCTTGGTAGGGGGTTGGACTGGATGGCCTATGAGGTCTCTTCCAACGCTATGATTCTGACAAATGGCCATTCAGCTTCGGCTTAAGAGAAGCAAACTCCACCAGACACCTAGGCAGTCTAGATATAAGGGACCCCCAAAGATCAAATAGTCTAGCCCCATTCTGTGAGGCAGGAAGACCCAATCAAAACTGTCCTGACAGATGGCCATTCAGCCTTGGATTAAGAGGAGACTCCACCAGACACCTAGGCAAGCTATATTTCGCTAGATAAAAGGGACCCCCAAAGATCATATAGTCTAGCCCCATTCTGTGAGACAGGAAGACCCAATCAAAACTGTCCTGACAGATGGCCATTCAGCCTTGGATTAAGAGGAGACTCCACTGGACACCTAGACAGTCTAGATATAAGGGACCCCCAAAGATCATATAGTCTAGCCCCATTCTGTGAGGCAGGAAGACCCAATCAAACTGTCCTGACAGATGGCCATTCAGCTTTGGATTAAGAGGAGACTCCACCAGACAGCCAGGCAAGCTATACTTCACTAGGTGAAAGGGACCCCCAAATATCATATAGTCCAGCCCCATCTGCTAGACAGTAAAACCAAAGCTCTCCCAAGAGATGGTCATTCAGCCTTGGCTTAAGAGAAGGAAACTCCATCAGACTTCCAAGGGACCCCCAAATACCATATGGTTCAGCCTCATTCTTTGAGGCAGGAAGACACAATCAAAGCTTTCTTGACAGATGGCCATTCAGCCTTAAGAGAAGGAGACTCCGCCGGACTCCAAGGAAGCTTGTCTCACCGTTGAATGGCTCTTACTGTGGGTTCTTCCTAATGTTTAGGTGAAATCTCTTTCCCTGACCTTTGAATCCCTTGCGTCCTAGTCTCTGGATCGGCAGTAAACAATGGGACATCCTTTCAAATATGTAAACATGGCTATCGTGTCCCTTCTAAGCCTTCTCTTCCAAGTGAAAACGTCCGATCAAAGCAAAATAATGACTTCCTTCGATTTTGACACTAGAATCCTCACGACGTAGCTTTGAATCGTGTTGGTCTTTTTAGTTACCGCATCACACTGTTGGCTCACGTTCATCTTTGTGGGTCTACAAACACTCCATTTCTTTGACATGGTGCATATATTTACTTGTGATTTATTTCTTGCGCCAGACTTTCCCATCAAACTTCACACTCCGAAGATAGTAGACATCAAGGAAAGCAGCGATGGCGTATATCTGACCTGGACTCGGCCGAGAGAGATGACGGGCATATGCTACCAAGTCGAAGTGAATAGCACTGAAACGAAAATAAAGGTGGGTTCTTCTCCAATCTAGCTCAAATCTTGAATGTATTGTGTTTTTAGTGTAATATGAACTTCACAGGTAGCGAGATGATGTTAGAGGTGTGTAATGGTAGAGTGAACACTGCTTCAGTCTTCTTTTGGTTTAATGCTGCCACCAACCCAAGATGTCTTAGGATTTTTAAAATGAGTTTTTGAGGTAAACTTTTCCCTTCTCTGCCAACACAGCTCTCTCCTTAGCTCCCAAAATGACTGCTTGGATAAGAGACCTTTCTGTGGTATTATGATGTTAAAGATACTAGAATTATCACAAAGAATTACTGATAGATTGGGGAATGATTGAGACTTTTTGAGAGTTAAATAGAAAAATATTTATTTATGAAAACAGACAACTAACTTCTTCTTCTGAGAGGCACAAAACGCTTGAATTGTTACAAAAGTGTACTATAGCTTGATGGTTGCTGGAATAAGTTTCTTCACTTAGTTACATACAGAGCTAATCAAACAGATATAGCTGCTGGTTACAAAAATCCCTCACTCCGCTTCAGAGAAATAGTAATGAGTTTCTGACTAACCTAACCTAGGTAGTCCCCTGAGTTATCAGCTAACTCTCCCAGAGTTCTTACAGCTAACTAACTCAGTTTAGAGAGCGAATCCCTTGTGTTATCTCCCACAAGAAATCAGGCAGCTGTCTGACCTTTCCTGTCAGCTAATCAGCCCTGACTGGCACAGACGCTCTCTCTCTCTCTCTCTCTCTCTCTCTCTCTGAAAACCCAGTTTCAAAAACACTTCTTCTTCCACCAACTCCCAATTCTCTTCTCCTCAGAAGCTGAAAACTTTTTCCCTCCTAAATCTTGGCTCCTCCCATCTGCTCTAGCCAATCCCAGGAGACCTCAAACTCCTCCCATCTTCTAGCTCTCCTCCCTCGCTTCCCTGGCATACACTCTCAAAATGGAGGTTTGCCCCTGCTGTCATCCAGGCTTCTTTTCCGGCCTACTAGGTAAGAATCACTACACCCAGTCTTTTGTGTGCCCAGGAGGGAGTCTCTCATTTGGAATCAGCCATGGATTGAGGTTCTGGGTGATGAGGAGATATTGGAAAAATGGATATTTATTGATTGATTTATGCATAAAAATCATATGTACTTTAAATGTATAGGAAAATCTAGTTCCCTCTGTGTAGCAAGAATGCTAACAGCAAGCAAACTGCTTGTCTTCAGAAGGGGCATGCATTCCAGAAGAGAGATAAGACACAGGCTGGTACGAGAAGGCCCCCTCTAAGTAAGAAGCCTCTTGACAAGTCAGAGGGCCCCTTTGATGGATGACTGTAAGCACAGCCAAGAGGGAGGGGGAATACTCCATGCTGGCTCTTCAGCTAGAGACAGAGACATGCTTTTTGCATGTTGGAGGTTGGAACCTGATATTCTTATGATGCTCAGATGACGTAGGGATGATGATGATTGTATGAAGATGTATGTACTAGTATGTTCTTTGTCTGCTTGATTCTGAAATCTATAAAAGGGCAGTCCGCAGCTTGATCGGGGGCTCTGGGTTTTGCTTTTTGGGACACGAGTCCACCAGAGTCACCAGCTGGAAATAAAGCCGTACCTTTTCTTAATCTCCAGAAAGGATGTCTCTTGGTAATTATCTCTCCTTTCCTCAAAACCTATTTCCCTGCCATTTCATGGGCTTTAGCCTGCCACTTTTGGACTCTGACTTGCTGAGGTGTTCCAGCAAGTGTCTCTGTAGATCTTAAAAAACTATTTCTTGATTTAAGTCGTTGGCGTGCTGGCTGATATCCAAACAGTAATAAGTGAACTGCAACTCCAAAACTCAAGGTCAATGCCCAATAATAATAATAATAATATAACTCACATATAAACAATAACACAGAGAATTTAAAACCTTATGGCCAGGCCAGATGTAATAAATTAATTTTTTTAAAATAAACACTGGGTGTGAACAGAGGTAGGATGTATCTAAGCAGGAGGGTTTTAAAGGATAATGTAGGGAGAGCAACCCAACGGGTAGTTAAAGTGCTTCTGAGGACATTTTGCAGGGAATTGGTCAGAGCAGGGCATTGTTTCCTTTATTCAGGGAAGGCACACTGGAACAGCCACGTTTTCAGGCTCCTCCTAAAAACTGCCAATGTGGGGGCTTGCCTGATATCCTTGGGGAGTGAGTTCCAGAAAAGGGGGCCACCATAGAGAAGGCCCTCTCCCTCGTCCCCACCAATTGCGCCTGCGAAGGAGGTGGGAGCGAGAGCAGGGCCTCTCCAGATGATCAAAGAGATCGCGTGGGTTCGTACACAGAAATGCGGTCATGCAGGTAGTCTTCCAGTATTTTTAGTTGGTCATGGGAGTTCTGTGTGCCAACTTTGGTTCAGTTCCATCATTGGTGGTCAAGGTCTGACCTCACTACCTCTGAGGATGCTTGCCATAGATGCAGGTGAAACGTCAGGAGAGAATGCCTCTAGAACATGGCCATATAGCCCGAAAAAACCTACAACAACTGCATTGTGGATGCATCCTTTGGCAGAGATTGCGATGGACCTTGGGAAACTACACCTCCCAGGGTTTCCTATTCTTGAGCCATGGTTACAGTGGAGAGTCTAAAAGGCCTTCATTCCGCAGTGTAGAGGCTCCCATTGAAGGGCCACCTCAGATTTAGTGGGGGGGGGGGGGGGGGGGGGAATGACCGATGAATCCCACTTTGGGGAATGTGTCCTTTTACCTGCAGAGCTCCAAGGGATTTGTTCCAACCCACAGAAAGTTCGAAGTTTTCTTTTTTCCCCTCACCTTTTTTCTTAAAGGACTTTGAGGACAACACCAACAACAGCATCCCCCTTGCACTGAAGGGGTACCATACTTTCCGGGTGAGAAGCGCTGCAGGCTGGATTGGGACTCAGTGCAAGGCGATCCGAGGACATTGGAGCGATTGGAGTGAATCGGTGGACTGGGGTAAGACGCATCTCTACAACGGGACTGGCTCAATCACCTCCATTGATCCATATGACATTGCGTTCACCATCGGCATGAGCATTCTATCCATCTTGACCTGCTTGAGCTTCTTGGGATGCTTGTTGCCGTGTCCTTCTAGAACAGTGTTTCTCAACCTGGGGGTCGGGACCCCTGGAGGGGTCGTGAGGGGGTGTCAGAGGGGTCGCCAAAGACCATCAGAAAACACAGTATTTTCTGTTGGTCATGGGGTTTCTGTGTGGGAAGTTTGGCCCAATTCTATTGTTGGTGGGTTCAGAATGCTCTTTGATTGTAGGTGAACTATAAATCCCAGTAACTACAACTTCCAAATGTCAAAGTCTATTTTCCCCAAAAATCCACCAATGTTCACATTTGGGCATATTGAGTATTCATGCCAAGTTTAGTCTAGATCCATCACTGTTTGAGTCAGAGCCCCCGGTGGCGCAGTGGGTTAAACCCCTGTGCCGGCAGGACTGAAGACCGACAGGTCGCAGGTTCGAATCGGGGAGAGGCGGATGAGCTCCCTCTATCAGCTCCAGCTCCTCATGCGGGGACATGAGAGAAGCTTCCCACAAGGATGATAAAAACATCAAATCATCCAGGCGTTCCCTGGGCAACGTCCTTGCAGACGGCCAATTCTCTCACACCAGAAGTGACTTGCAGGTTCTCAAGTCACTCCTGACACGACAAAAAAAAAAACTGTTTGAGTCCACAGTGCTCTCGGGATGTAGGTGAACTACAACTCCAAAAACTCAAGGTCAGTTCCCACAAATGCCCTTCTAGTATTTTCTGTTGGTCATGGGAGTTCTGTATGCTAAGATTGGTTCAATTCCATCGTTGGTGGAGTTTAGAATACTCTTTGACTGTAGACTTACAATAAATCCAAGCAACTACAACTCCCAAATTACAAAATCACCCCCCAACCCCACCAGTATTCAGATTTGGGTGTATGGAGTATTTGTGCCAAATTTGGTGCAGTGAATGAAAATACATCCTGCATATCAGATACTTACATGACGATTCATCACAGTAGCTCAACTACAGGTATGAAGTAGCAACAAAAATAATGTTATGGTTGGGGGTCACCACAACATGAGGAACTGTATTAAGGGGTCACGGCATTAGGAGGGTTGAGAACCACTGCTCTATTACCAAGTAGCTCAAACCTCCAGGGTCGTTGTTCAATCCGACACTGAAGGCGAGGAGATCATTCAGTGGGTTTGTTTGATCGAACCATCCTGCCGGGTGAACAAAGAGGAACAGTGCAACACCAAAGTTGAGACGCAGCTCAGTTTTACAGTCAATACCTTGAGCATGCGCGCAGGCTATTTTCCCCAATTTGTGCCTGTGCAGAAGTCATTGTTATTATGTTTGTGTTTAACTGTTAGAGTATATATTTGTGTTTGTAACAGTAGCTAAACCTGGAGTCATCTGGTTTGAATCCACAGTGAGCGTTGCCAAGGAGACGAGGCTGGCTAGCTCATGAGAGGGAGGAGTGGGCGGAGCCAAGCAGGAAAAGTTATGTGCGTTTTTAAAAAGGCCTGAGAGTGAGGCTTGGAAAGGCCTGAGAGAGAGGCTTGTGTGTGAGCGGCTGGTGTTTTATCAGTCTAGGAGGGCTGAAGAAAGAAACCTGGCCAGATTCTTTAGTCAAAGAAGACTAAAGGAAGCCTAGTTAAGATCCCTAGTTAAGGAAGGACTAGAGATCAGAGATTTGATCGAGGGAAGATCAAATTGAAAGGCTATTTATAGTAGTGAAACATTGTTCACTAGAGAGCTTCACCTCAGTGAAAGTTAGCCACAAGCTGTGTTATCTGGAAGAGTGGACTGTATTATAAACCACGTGATATTCAAAGTTCCATAAGTTATTTAACAGCCTGCAACCATAAGCTTTGTACACAATAAACTTGTTATCTTTTGTTGAAAACCGTCTCATCTCAACTAATCTGCGTCTGTAGAGCCAGATCTCATCGGTGGTACCTCAAATACCTCACGTTGGTGGCAGTTACCTTAATTTACTAATAATAATTGGCCTCCTCCATAATATACTCTTCTACAAAATTGAGGCCTGAGGTAAATTCCCTCCATAACATCCACATCTGTACAATTGGTGGCGGCGGTGAGATTAAAAAGTGCCTGAGGTAAAATACCTCCATTATTAGGGCCTGCCGTTGCCAACCTCAGCAACACACAAGCACCTCCTCGCAATTGGTGATAGTGGTGGGGATCTTCAAAGATAAAATCCCTATACCCTGTCCATCGTTGAGTTCACATCTTCCCAGTGCCTTATCTCTATCTCTTCCTTTTCTGCCCTTCTGGCGCCAGCTCCAATCAGTATTCTTGCACCCAATTTTCCTCAGCAGCTGATTCCCTTTCCTACATCTTCCCATCCTGCGCCTCCTTGTATGAACTTTCCCCTTATCTGAAAACTCTGCTTTGGCTGGTAGTTTTCCACAACTACTTCAGACATAGTCCCGTCAAGCTAAATTCTCCATTAGGGTGTGTCTACACCTGGCATGGGCAAACTTCAGACCTCCAGGTATTTTGGACTTCAACTCCCACAATTCCTAACAACCTACCAGTTGTTAGGAATTTTAGGAGTTGAAGCCCAAAACCCTGAAGGGCTGAAGTTTGCCCATGCCTGGTCTACACTGTGAAAGCAATGCAGTTTGGCACCCCCTTGACTGCCACAGCCCCACGCTATGGGGTCTTGGCACTTAGAATCATGTAATATAATATTTATTTATCGTGTCAGCAGCAACCAGACATTTGCATTACATTTTTAACAAAACAAACAAACAGACAAAACACAAAGTTTGCAAGCTTGGTAGTTGATTAAATATCCTTTAACCAGTATCTGGCCCACTTGGAGTGCCTCTGGTGTTGCTTCAAGAAGGTCCTCCATTGTGCATGTGGCAGGGCTCAGGTTGCATTGCAGCAGGTGGTCTGTGGTTTGCTCTTCTCCACACTCACATGTCGTGGATTCCACTTTGTAGCCCCATTTCTTAAGGTTGGCTCTGCATCTCGTGGTGCCAGAGCGCAGTCTGTTCAGCGCCTTCCAAGTCGCCCAGTCTTCTGAGTGCCCAGCGGGGAGTCTCTCATTTGGTGTCAGCCATTGATTGAGGTTCTGGGTTTGAGCCTGCCACTTTTGAACTCTCGTTTGCTGGGGTGTTCCAGCGAGTGTCTCTGTAGATCTTAGAAAACTATGTCTTGATTTAAGTCGTTGACGTATAATATAATATATTATAATATATTGTATATACATATTATAATATAATATAATATATTGTATATACATATAATATTTATAATATTATAATGTAATGAAATATAATAATAAGAAGAATAAAATGATTATATATTTATATTTCATATAATATTACTAATAATACTACAATATAGTGGTATGGTGCAATATAGCAATGTTTAATGCTGATATTGTACTATGCTAATATATAATATATTGTATGTATATATATACTTGTAAACGCTCTGAGTCCCCTTCGGGGTGAGAAGGGCGGCATATAGATGTTGTAAATAAATAAATAAATAAGAGTTGGGAAGACCTCATGGGTCATCCAAGTCCAAACCCCTGCCAAGAAGCAAGAAAATCTCATTCAAATCACCCCTAACAGATGGCCATCCAGCCTCTGTTTAAAAGCTTCCAAAGAAGGAGCCTCCACCACACTCTGGGGCAGAGAGTTCCACTGCTGAACAGCTCTCACAGTCAGGAAGTTCTTCCTCATGTTCAGATGGAATCTCCTTTCTTGTAGTTTGAAGCCATTGTTCCATGTCCGAGTCTCCAAGGAAGCAGAAAACAAGCTTGCTCCCTCCTCCCTGTGGCTTCCTCTCACATATTTATACATGGCTATCATATCTCCTCTCAGCCTTCTCTTCTTCAGGCTAAACATGCCCAGCTCCTTAAGCCGCTCCTCATAGGGCTTATTCTCCAGACCCTTGATCATTTTAGTCGCCCTCCTCTGGACACATTCCAGCTTGTCAATATCTCTCTTCAATTGTGGTGCCCAGAATTGGACACAGTATTCCAGGTGTGGCCTAACCAAGGCCGAATAGAGGGATAGCTCTCTTGTTGCACTCTAAAAAGGCCTTTGCAAAACAACTCCCAGGGTTTCATAGCATGGAGTCCTAACAGTTAAAGTGGGGTCAATCTACATCGATGCTGCAGTCAAGATGGCCTTATGGGTATCAGCCAAATCATTCTTCGATGCGTTCCAGCGCAGGTCTCCTCACCACCTTCCTGTTTCCTTTTCCAGGCAAACCAGAGAACATGAACTACCTTCTGTTACTCCTCATCCCGTTATGCGTGGCCATCCTGACGGTCATTTTGCTCCTATACTTGAAAAAGTGAGACGCTGTTTGCTTATTTTGAACCTTTTGTGCAACCTCACACAAATATACATAAATGATCAAATTAAACATATACATACATACAACACACATACACACACACTGCACATGCTTCAGCTTAAATGACGTATCTACATTCCAATATGGCAAAATAATAATAATAATAATAATAATAATAATAATAATAATAATGTTATTATTATTATTATTATTATTGTGTGGGAAGCTTGGGGAAGGGAGTACCTTTTGTATTTCTAGATACAACCCAGCTTATGTGAAAGTTCTGGATTCCCACATGGCAGAATTATTATTATTATTATTAGTATTATTATTATTATTAATATTATTACTGTTATTATTTGGGAAGCTTGAGAAAGGGAGTAGCATTTGCATTTCGAGACAAAGCCCAGCTTAAATGATGCATCTACATTCCAATATGGCAAAATAATAATAATAATAATAATGTTATTATTGTTATTATTGTTATTTGGGAAGCTTGGGGAAGGGAGTACCTTTTACATTTCTAGACACAACATGTGAAAGTTCTGGATTCCCACATGGCAGAATTATTATTATTATTATTATTATTATTATTATTATTACTATTATTATTATTATTACTATTGTTACTATTATTATTTGGGAAGCTTGGGAAAGGGAGTAGCATTTGCTTCTTGATTCGAATATGACAATAGAATTATTGTTATTATTATAACTTATTAGAAAGCTTGGGAAAGGAAGTAGCATCAGCATCTTTAGACAAAACCCAGGTTCATCAAAGCTTCTGGATTCCAATATGGCAATAAGGTAAAGGTAAAAGTTGTCCCCTGACATTAAGTCCAGTCATGTCTGACTCTGGGGTGTGGTGCTCATCTCCATTTCTAAGCCGAAGAGCCAGTGTTGTCCATAGACACTTCCAAGGTCATGTGGCCAGCATGACCGCATGGAGTGCCGTTACCTTCCCACAGGAGTGGTACCTATTGATCTACTCACATTTGCATGTTTTCGAACTGCTAGGTTGGCAGAAGCTAGGGCTGACAGCGGAAGCTCACGCCACTCCCTGGAATCGAACCTGCGACCTTTCCCTCAACAAGCTCAGCAGCTCAGTGCTTTAACCCACTGCCAAGGGGGGGGGGGGGGGAATAGAATTATTTATTATTATTATTATTATTATTATTATTATTATTATTATTAATTGGCATGCTTGGGAAGAGGAGTAGCATTTCCATTCCTAGACCAAACCCAGGTTCAACGAAGCCTCTAGATTCCAATGTAGCGAAAGAACAAGACCCACTCTTTCTCATTTGAAATAAGAAATATGATAATCCTGGTGTACTGGAGCTTGATGTAAATAAAACTGGTACAGTTATTTTTAATGTCGAACCAATTAATCTAAGTCTGCGGCCTCTTTTTCTTTTCTTTTCCATTGCATTACCAAAGGATTAAATTGCTGATTCTCCCAACAATCCCGGACCCGGGAAAGTTCCTCAAAAACATGTTTGAAGACCAAGGCGAAGATCTCCCTTCGAAAGAGATGTTCCAGGGGTCGAATCAGGATCTCTATGTGAGTGTTGGGTTTCCACCTGTTTCGAGGGTTTCATAAATAGTTTCATAAATAGTTTCATAAACTTTCATTTAATAGTTGAAAGAAGACGAGGCTCAAAATAGCGTGCTATTTCTGAGACTTTCATTTCCATTGGAAAGAAGTCAAGATTGGTTTCAGAATGGTAGTATTTGTCATAGTCGGTTTGGACAGATCTTCAAGGTCTTTGCATGTCATGTTTTTTGCTTTTTTTGCTTCAAAAATAATGTGCATTTGTAGCACATCATCATAACCCACTTCTTCTAATAACAACAATAACAACTTAGGTTGCTTAAGTTAAAATAATAACAACAATAATAATAACTAGCTGTACCCGCCACGCGTTGCTGTGGCCAACCTTCCCTCCCTCTTTCTCTCCTTCCTTCCCTCTTTCCTTCCTTTCCTCTTTTTCTTTCCCTATCTCTCTTCTTTCTTCCATCTCTACCTGTTTCTTTCCTCCCTTTCTTTGCTCTTTGGTTACACACTTCCTTCCTTCCCTATCTTTTGTTCCTTCTCTCCTTCCTTCCCTCTCTTTTTCCTTTCACTTTTTTATTTCCTTCTCTCCTTCCTTGCTTTTCTTTCTTTCTTTCCCTCCCTGCTTCTCTCCTTCCTTCCTTCCCTCTTTCCCTCCTTCTCTCGTTACTTCTTGACTGTCCCTTCCATTTAATATTGTATTTATATCTTACATAGAAAGAAGGAAAGGAAGAAGGAAGGAAGGAGGGACATGAAGGAAGGAAAAAGGAAGGGAGGGAGGGAAAGAAGGGAAGGAAGGAAAAGAAAGAAGGAGGGACAGGGAGGGAGGAGAAGGAAGGAAGGAGGGAAAGAAAGGAGGGGGATGAAGAAAGGAGGGAGGGAAGGAAATGAAGGGGAAGGAAATGAAGAAAGGGAAAGAAGAAGGAAAGGGAGGGAGGAAAAGAAGGAAAGGAAGGAGGGACAGAAGGGAGGGAAGGAGGGAAAGAAGGAAAGGAAGGAGAAGGAAAGAAGAAAAGGAAAAGAAGGAAGGAAAGGGAGGAAAGAAGGGAAGGGAGGGAGAGAAGGTCCTTCATTCAAGCACCGTGGACCTTCCTCGCCTCTTCCTCCTCCCCCTCCCCCTCCTCCTCCTCCTCCCCTTCTTCCTTGCTCCGTTGCTGCTGCTGGCACTCATCTGCCCTTTCCTCTTCCAACAGGGAAAGGAGGAGGAGGAGACTGCCTCCACCTCCTCCACTCCACTCGCTTGTGTGTGTGTGTGTGTGTGTGGCCGTGCACGTGTGTCTGGCTTTAATGACTGGCTGTTTCCCCGCAAGGAGGAGGGGGAGCGTGGCCATGAGTCTCTGTAAACATGCAGTTTCTCCTTTGTGGACATGCAGTTTTGAAGTCCTTTCTGCTTTTGGTTTTCGTTGTTTTTTTTTGTTGTTGTTTTTTTAGTGGAGAACATACGTTGGGTTGTTAGGGACATAGTGTCCAAATTTGGTGTCAATTGCCGCAGTGGTTTCTAAGTTCTGTGAATAGCACAAACGAACATTACAGTTTTATTTATATAGATAAACTTTATTTATTCCCTGCCACCATCTCCCTGATGGGGACTCGGAGCAGCTTACATGAGGCCAAGCCCAAACAACAAATTACAACAGAGACTCAATGCAGTGTTTTGTTCCTTCTTGGTTTTTAGAAGCCGTCCTTGCAACTGCGGGTCAAGGAAGAACCAACCCATTTGTTGATCGTCACAAGTGGAAATGAAGATTGAGGACATCCGGCCCTTTACGGCACACGACATCTGAATGTAAACCTTGGGGACAGGAAACGACGACTTCCCATTGCAGGACGGAGTCTTGAAACAGCACAGTAGCACCCGGCATCCTTTCCATCAGACTTCTTTGCTGGTTGCATAAACCCATTCCACTATTTCTACTTCTCATGCCGTTAAACTGTGACACTCACCCCAAGCTCTGAGTTAGCTTCTGTGAAGCAACCTTTGCACCATTTGTCGTCTTCTCCTTCAGGTGGACCTTGCTTTGCTTTGATGCCCATCCAATCTGGAACTTTGCGCTTCTCCAAGGAATTATTCCCTTCTAAAGCTGAAGTGTTGGACTCCTTGACTAATGGTGACACCATGGATGCATCACTTACCAGTCTTATGAAAGTTCTGGAAGCTCCTTCCTTGGAGTCTGGAGGATCATCTGCTGGGAGGGTTTTGATTGTGATTTTCTTGCATAATGGCAGAAGGAGGTTGGACTAGATGACTCCTGAGGGTGTCTTCCAACTCATGGATTATTCTAAGATTCTAAATTTTGCCAAAGTTATATGCCCATCCCCATCCAGCCTTATCCAACTTGGTGCCCAAGTCCTTGGAAAACCAAGACCTTGGAAAAACCTACATGCTGGGAATTGTAGGACAGAACATCTAAGAAGCACTTAGTACATATGGTTTTGACCCATGTAATACCAAGGAAGGTGGCATCTAAAGAGACTTTTGGTGCTCCTTATTGCTCTTTGTATTCCAGGCTCATCTTATCTCTTTTTTCGACAGAGTTACAAGCATGGTAGATGCAGGGAATGCTCTGGATGTAGCATATCTTGATTCCAGTAAGGCCTTCAACAAGATCTCCCATGACCTTCTTGCAAATGAACTAGACCAGTGTTTCTCAACCTTCCTAATGCCGTGACCCCTTAATACAATTTCTCATGTTGTGGTGACCCCCAACCATAACATTATTTTTCGCTGTTACTTCATAACTCTAATTTTGCTACTGTTATGAATTGGAATGTAAATATCTGATATGTAGGATGTATTTACATTCACTGGACTAAATCTGGCACAAATACCCGATGCGCCCAAATTTGAATACTGGTGGGGTTGTGGGGGGGATTGATTTTGTCATTTGGTAGTTATATTATTATTATTATTTACAGCTTTTATATTCCGCCCTTCTCACCCCGCAGGGGACTCAGGGCGGATTACAGTGTACACATATATGGCAAACATTCAATGCCAATTTTGACATACAACACATACAGACATACACAGAGGCTATTTAACTTTTTTCTGGCCGCCCGGGGAGCTGTCGCTTTCATCGTCCATCTGCAACGCTGATGAAGCACTTCCGCATTCCCCGCATGCTTTTGCTGAAGTCTTTATGGCCTCATAAATTAGTTAATTTAGCCTCGCCACACTTTAAGGTGATATCTTATTTTCCTACTTGACAGATGCAACTGTCTTTCAGGTTGCAAAGGTCGACAACGGACTACACAATTGGTTGGAAACCCACTCCAACCCGGGCTGGCTTCGAACTCATGACCTTTTGGTTAGAGTTATCTTAATGCATGACACTCAGCCAGCTGCGCCACAATCCCAGTAGTTGCTGGGATATATAGTTAACCTACAATCAAAGAGCATTCTGAATTCCACCAACAATGGAATTGAACCAAACTTGGCACACAGAATTCCCATGACCAACAGAAAATACTGGAATGGTTTGGTGGGGATTGATCTTGAATTTTGGAGTTGTAGTTCACCTACATCCAGAGAGCACTGTGGACACAAACAATGATAGATCTGGACCAAACTTAGCATGAATACTCAATATGCTCAAATGTGAACATTGTTGGAGTTTGGGGATATTTAGGAGTTGTGGTTGCTGGGATTTATAGTTCACCTACAATCAAAGAGCATTCTGAGCCCCACCAGTGATAGAATTGAGCCAAACTTCTCACACAGAACCGACAGGACCAACAGAAAATACTGTGTTTTCTGATGGTGTTTGGTGACCCCTCTGACATCCCTGTGCAAGGCCCCAACCCCAGGTTGAGAAACACCGACCTCAATAAATGTATTCTAGGTACTACTACTATTTGGTGGATCTGTAATTGGTTAAACCACCAGCCCCAAAGGGTGCTTCTCCCCAATGGTTCCTCATCATCATCCTGGAGAGAAGTGACTAGTAGAGTGCCATAAAAAGGGTTCGCTCCTGGACCCAATACTGTTCAATGTTTATTAATGACTTAGATGAAGGTTAAGAGATCAGGTTGATCAAGTGTGCAGATGGGACCAACTTAGGAGGGATAGCTAATACCCCAGAGAACAGGATCAGAATTCAAAACAACCTCAACAGATTAGAGAGCTGGGCCAAAATTAACAAAATGGATCTCAACAAGGACAAATTTAAGATAAGAAATGAGATGCGAAGATACAGGATGAGTGACGCCTGGCTTGACAACAGTCCATATGAAAAAGATCTTGGAGTCTTCATGGAGAACAACTTGAACATGAGTCAACAATGTGATATTGTGTGGAGGCTTCTTTGGAGGCTTTTAAACAGAGGTCGTATGACCATCTGTTGGGGGTGCTTTGATGGTGCTTTTCCTGCATGGCAGATGGGGGTTGGACTAGGTGGCCTATGCGGTCTCTTCCAACTCTATGATTCTAATGACACAGCCCATATCTTGGACTTCAATACTTGCCATTTCATAATGTTCATAGACCTGCCCTGTTTTCTCTTTCCCAGCAAAGCTTAAAGGTTTTATGTATTCACTTTGCTTGCATTGTAAACTTGCAACTGTTTGCTTAGGATTTACTTTCATTTCATTTTCTTTTCTTTTTTTGGCCACTTGAGATCTGGAATTTTGTATAAAGAATAAAAAAATACTTTTTAGAAAAACAAAACAAAGTTGTCTTCTTTGCCTTGCTTCTTATCCTGCGGGGTTTGTGTGTATTGACTCTCAGCTCTCGGGTTTGCAATCTCAAGCGGATTTGCAATACCCTGACTGTGGCAAACCCTTTAGAAGGAGTCATTCCTTCATTTAATATTTGCCATTGTGTTTGGAGATGGAAGAGATGAAGAGCCCGCAAAGGTCTGGGTAAATATTGATGTGGAGGTTTTACAACCTGTTGTATTTTCAGTTTTGCAATATTCACTCACAAGCCATTGCTATGGAAGGTTTCCAGGGCCAAGCAGCATCCTATAGTCCTAATCCCACAATTCAAACCCTTAAAGCAGTTTTCCATGTTGGAGACATTCAGGGGCGGCTCAACCCATTACGCAAAGTAAGCCTTTGCAATACAGTTGATTTTGCCCAGGGGCGCTCTTGAGGCACTCTTGGGGGGAAATAGACTTTGACATATGACAGTTGTAGTTACTGGGATGTATAGTTCTCCTACAACCCCAGGTCTCAGCGGTGGTCAGGGGAGCATTCGCACAATGAAAACTTGTGCGCCAGCTGCGTCCGTACCTTGGGAGGGCTGACTTGGCCACGGTAGTACACGCTTTGGTTACATCCCGCTTAGACTACTGCAACGCTCTCTACGTGGGGTTGCCTTTGAAGACTGCCCGGAAGCTGCAGCAAGTCCAACGCGCGGCAGCCAGATTACTAACGGGGGCTGGGTACAGGGAGCACACCACTCCGCTGTTACGCCAGCTCCACTGGCTGCCAATTAGCTTCCGAGCACAATTCAAAGTGCTGGTGTTGTCCTTTAAAGCCCTAAACGACTCCAGCGCTGTTTACCTCTCCGAACGTATTCTCCCCTACAAACCATCAAGATTATTAAGATCATCTGGAGAGGCCCTGCTCTCGGTCCCACCGGCCTCGCAAGCATGCCTGGTGGGGACGAGGGACAGGGCCTTCTCGGTGGTGGCCCCGCGACTCTGGAACTCTCTCCCTCTGGAGGCCAGAACCGCCCCATCCATCCTAACATTTAGGAAACGGTGAAGACGTGGCTGTGGAGTCAGGCCTTCGATGAATGAGACAACACCATAGGACCCTGGATGGAAGTTGATGTAGATCCATCTTAATAGGACGACTGACCACTGTAGTTTTATATATAGTGTTTTTAAAGTTGTTTTTGTAATTGTGATATATGATATTTTAATGAGTGTATTTTTTTTATGGCTGGAAACCGGGCTGAGTCCCTCAATGAGGTTGAGAAGCTCGGTATAGAAAACTGTGAAATAATAATAAATAAATATAATCCAAGAGCATTCTGAACTCCACCAATGATGGAATTGAACCAAATATGGCACACAGAACTCCCACGACGAACAGAAAAAATACATATATCAGTGATTGGTTGGGGGGGGGGGCAAGATACTGTTTGCTTACCGTTGAAAATTACCTAGGGCCACCTCTGGTCGCTGCCTATTTCATGTTGGTATTGGGTCCTGGATCTACAAGTTACTGCTTACGTTCGTGTGTGTTTTTGACTTGACCCGTGAGTGCTGACTTCTCCTTTTCTTGACTTCGGACCGGTTTGACTACGACGCTGACTACATGGACTTTGGAACTTTGCTACTTTGAATTCAGCTTCCTTCGACGCTTTCTTCCCTACGGCTCTTTTGTTTGTAAACCGTTTACTTGCTGTGTTATTTTGGGGGACTCTCAGAGCGCTTTATTATAATCCGGTTCTTTTCTCTGGATAATCAGGATTATTGCTTCACTTATCTCTTTTGAACCAGGACTCGTTTTTTGCTTTTGAGTTTGGCCAGAGACACTGAGTTAAGTATCTCTGAGCCCTTTTTCTTTGCTTAATATACTTTATTTTGGAACTAATTCTGAGTCTGGCCCTTTAAGGCGTCTGTGTCCCGACAACAACACCACAATCTTAGACACAAACATCGGGGCTTTAAATAACTATTGTCGGTTTCACCTGCGCCTTCGCTTCCTTCTCAGGACAGATCTGCCCTTCCATTCTGCGCTGCATTTCTCGCCTTCTCTTTCCGCCCTCTGCCAAAAATGGTAACAGTTTTTGTATGGATGACAAACCGGAGATGAACTGGACCAACAAAAGATAAATTGGCAAATGTTTGCCACTGTTCTGACATGTGCCAGGGGTGTTTTACACCCCACCAGGAGGCCGAAAGTGCAGTTTATATTATCAGATTAACAGCTTGTCGTATTTAAAGAACGAGGGTTCAGCTGAAGGTAGCCAAGAGAAGTCGTTTCCATGCACTTGCCAAAGGCCAGCATAACATTGGTGTGCACGACTTTTTTCTGGAAACTTGCCCCAAACTGGCAGGGACTGCCCTTTGCCCATGGACCCAACTCTTCGAGTAATACCGTGCTCAAACACCCCAGATCATGGAGATCACCATTTTAGAAAACTAACTTGTATATTGCATCAATTGCTTTTCTTACTTACTTACTTACTTACTTACTTACTTACTTACTTACTTACGCGATCCCTCGTTGGCCGAGTAGGATAGTCTTCCAGGATCAGTATTCTGGTGGGTCCGTAGGTGACTGTGGAGCCCTATTCTTGACCTGCATCTTCTCCTGCAGTGAGGGCATTGGTTTCCAGGTGGAAGGCGGTCTCGGTCGGGGTTGGCTTGACACGCCTTCCTCTTGGCACGTTTCTCTCTTTCACCCTCCATTCGTGCCTCTTCAAATTCTGCAGCACTGCTGGTCACAGCTGACCTCCAGCTGGAGCGTCAAGGGCCAGGGCTTCCCAGTTCTCAGTGTCTATGCCAGAGTTTTTAAGGTTGGCTTTGAGCCCATCTTTAAATCTCTTTTCCTGTCCACCAACATTCCATTTTCCGTTCTTAAGTTCAGAGTAGAGCAACTGCTTTGAGACGGTGGTCAGGCATCCGGACAACGTGGCCGATCCAGCGGAGTTGATGGCAGAGGACCATCGCTTCAATGCTGGTGGTCTTTGTTTCTTCCAGCACGCTGACGTTTGTCCGCTTGTCTTCCCAAGAGATTTGCAGGATTTTCCGGAGGCAGCGCTGATGGAATCCTTCCAGGAGTTGCATGTGACGTCTGTAGACAGTCCACGTTTCGCAGGCATATAGCAGGGTTGGGAGGACAATAGCTTTATAAACAAGCACCTTGGTATCCCTACGGATGTCCGGTCCTCAAACACTCTCTGCTTCATTTGGAAAAATGCTGCACTCGCAGAGCTCAGGCGGTGTTGTTTTGGTGTCAATGTTGACTATGGTGGAGAGGTGGCTGCCAAGGTACGGAAATGGTCAACATTTTCTAATGTTACACCATTAAGCTGTTACACCTCACTGGAGGGAGGATATTAGAGCCAAGATGAAGTACTTTGGCCAAATAATGAGAAGACAGGAAAGCTTGGAGAAGAAGATGATGCTGGGGAAAATGGAAGGAAAAAGGAAGGAAGATGGGCCAACCAAGGGCAAGGTGGATGGATGGCATCCTTGAAGTGGATGGATGGCATCCTTGAAGTGGCTTGACCTTGAAGGAGCTGGGGATAGCCATGGCGACAGAAGCTCTGGTGTGAACTGGTACAGGAAATCAGGAAGAGTTGGAAGTGACTGACTGAATAAACAACAACATTTTTCCATGAACCTGCTAATGCCTATGAGGCTGGATGGCCATCTATCAGGAGGATTTTAATTGTGCTTTTCATGCCTGGCAGAAAGAAGGAGGTTGGACTGAATGGCCATTGGAGTCTCCTCCAGCTCTTAGGTCTTTGATTTAGGGCAACCAGTCAATCGTATTACATTTCTAACAGAACAAAACAAACAGATAAAACATAATATTTGCAAGTTTGGTAGTTGATTAAATGTCCTTTGACATTTAATATCATTTAGTATCTGGCCACTTGGAGTGCCTCTGGTGTTGCCGCAAGAAGGTCCTCCATTGTGCATGTGGCAGGGCTCAGGGTGCATTGCAGCAGGTGGTCAGTGGTTCTCCACACTCGCATGTCGTGGATTCCACTTTGTAGCCCCATTTCTTGAGGTTGGCTCTGCATCTCGTGACTGCCAGAGCGCAGTCTGTTCAGCGCCTTCCAAGTCGCCCAGTCTTCTGTGTGCCCAGGAAGGAGTCTCTCATTTGGTATCAGCCATTGGTTGAGCTTCTGGGTTTGAGCCTGCCACTTTTGGACTCTCGCTTGCTGAGGTGTTCCAGCGAGTGTCTCTGTAGATCTTAGAAAACTATTTCTAGATTTAAGTCATTGACGTGCTGGCTGATACCCAAACAGGGGATGAGCTGGAGATGTCTCTGCCTTGGTCCTTTCACTATTGGCTGCTACTTCCCAGCGGATGTCAGGTGGTGCTAAACAGTGTAATTTCTCCAGTGGTGTAGGGCATGTCTCATTAAGAGTCAAATCTACTGTTTTAGTGTGGTGAGATGTGTTCCACACTGGGCATGCGTACTCAGCAGCAGAGTAGCATAGCACAAGGGCAGATGGCTTCACTGTGTCTGGTTGTGATCCCCAGGT